GTGTATCTATATTGCAATTTTCACTTGCATTTTACTTTTGCAGCATCCCGCCTGCCCATGCTACAACAAATACAAAACCAAAGTATAATCTGATGAGAGTCACTACACAGGCCCCCTTTACAAAGCCAACTCAAACTCTGAAACAATATTGTACAAGAATATACACGGCGCTGTGTGGACAGAAAAACAAAATGCCTGGCCTTCATCGAGATAGACACATGTGGTTCAGGTTACAATCGATACAAACAGTATCGTCTAAGGGCGATACTGATGATCATCTCTGACCAGGAGCCGTCTAGGTCATTCTACGCAGGATCTTGTATCATGGTATCACCTAAAGCTTGGTATCACTAGATATTTTCCCCTACGGAACCTCCTCTTGGACACTGATGATTGTCGACGTTGTCACAGTAACAACTATAAACTCTTTGAAAAACTAAAAAGATCATTACATGCTGTTCAAAATGGGAGCACGACACACAAAAGCTTTCAATGTCATAACAAAAGGAAGAGCAAGTACGCACGTACAATTGTACGCAGCACACTTAAACAACATCATCAGCAGCACCATGAGTGGCAGCAGTTGTTGCATCGTCAACACTCCCGACATGGTAAAGCAACGCCCATAGGAGCGTTATCAGCTCTCCGCCCCGGGCAATGGCCTCCGCATGCTCGTCCATGTCGTCACAAGAAGCGGCGATGCAAACGACGGTTTCCGACCAGAACTCAGCAAGGGACTTCCACGCCACCTCCTCTCCTTCCGGCAGCTCCGCCAGCCGCCACCCAAGCTCCACACCATCCCTAAGCACATGGTGCTTTGACCGCATGCTCAGCAGCTCGACCAGCCGCCCATAGTCCATTTCGGACGTTGATATTGTAATGCCAGAACCAGCAAGGGAGCGTTCGGCATCCTTCTTGACGGCCGTGTACAAGCTCTTGCACCAAACGGCATCATCGGGTAGTAGCTTGGGAGAGTACGCCACCAAATAGGCGCAGTATCGTGACAAGTGAGTGGCGACGATCTCATGGTCGGAGAGAAGTTGACGTTGTGAACTCGCCATTGCAAGGATGCTTGTGGCGACATGACACATGAGCATGGCATCAGCTACTCCTTTGGCTCCATGGAATGTCCAAAGGAGTTCCCTGCCGACCTGTAGCTGTAGTCGTAGAGGTGTTGCACCAGGGTTGCTTCGGTGCCTGATTTTTTTGGGTCGAACATTCTCACTGCATCGACGACGGCAACCTTCACCACTCTTGGGACCTTCTTCTTGTGGTCAGGGAGATGAAAGATAAGTCGAAGAATAACCATTGGATTAATACTTGGGTGAACCACTAGGATTGAGCACTGGTTCATCTTGTCCTCCCAGTTCCCCAACAGCTTGCATCTGGAGCTCAGCACGAGACCAATGCATTTACCAACTATCAGAGATCGCCACCAAGATGTATGTGTTACGTAGCCACAAATTAGGGCTACTTTGGTCCAGTTGGAGCAAGTGCAAGAAGTAATTTCCCTCACTTCAACAAGCACAACTAGTGCAGCAAGCAGATATACCGGAAGAAGGTCAAAGTATAATATTCCTTGATACAATTCTCCCAAACGCATCTCATCAATAGGGATATACATAGTGTCAGAAGGAGAATGACAATACACTCTATGGTAACCGATCTGGCAACCATCCGGACCACTAAACACAAGTACACAATACACGATGGCAATTAAGCAGTAGCCGATGCTTGAGAGTGAAACAGATATACTCAATATGGGTAGCCATCTTCGTGAATATGATATTGGAATGGATGTATAATAGTAATCATGAAGAAATGAAAGCTCATGTGCAATCACCCCAAGGACCCTTTCATCATCAGAATCCGTGAGCAACAAATGTCTTATAAAGTTGCTTACTTTCATAGAGGCATCCTCACTAATTGTGTACCTTGCAAATCGACACCGCAATAGCTTGAACAATGCAAATGAAAGGCATAAATCCTTGTGTTGCTCCGTTGGCCTCGGAAGGACTGTATCATCCAACTTCCAGACTTGGTCGATCGTCACTATTCCATTGTTGCTCATCCTTGTCAAGCTGTAGCCATGAGGTTGGTTTTCTACCAAAACATTGCCCTCTCTCATAACTATAAGTGGAGGAGGTATCTGCTGAGTTACTAGTCTAGCATGATGGGTTCCATAGCGTAGTTGATCCATATATCCAACAATGAGACGAGGATTACGTCCAAATGCTAATGATTTCTTGGCTTTGTACCATGCATAGTACTTGAAAAGCAGTTTGGCCAGGATAAGAGCATATGGTATTGCAAAGATGAGATAATAGATATTATCTTTAGACCATTTGACATATCCAGATGGATGACCACCTGACTCTATGATGATGTAGGCAAGGTAGGATGTCCATATTGCTTGAAGAAGCTGCACTTTAGCAGGGGTGATGCTTCGACCTTCTCTTGAATCACTGGCCACTATCGCGGTGGCATTGGTACCCACGATCTGCACAAGACCAATCCACAACATGACCAGGATCATGTGAATAATCGCTCCACAGTCAGCTGTTATGACTCGGTCGGATTTTATGTAAATGTTGAAGGTGTAAGGATTTTTTAAGGTGGAGGCAAGATAGGAGACGATGGGAAGGAACAAAGTGGTAGCTCCTAGATAGAGGAAGCGGATCAAAGGATGGCGGCGGTAGCGATGCCCGTAGGCGCCTATCCCGGCTATGACTACCATCAACATGGTGTTCAGCACTAGGAGAGCGTCGACACCCAATAGGAATCCTCTCACATGCTTGGATAAGAAACGCAATTCATCATCAGTGCAGACCTCGGTTGGATTTCCATGCATGATATATATTTACCTGGTTGTCAAATTCGAACATTAGAATACACTATAGTTATTATTTGGGAAATTATCACCAAGATGCACCATTCCAAACAAAGGTATAGTAGGCTTTCTCATCAATGTGACACAGAGTCAATTGGTTAAACCATAGTGAAATGACCATACCGACCTCGTCAGAAACCATGATAAATGTTGCTAACTAATTAAGGCGCACCACGTACTAAATCTTGCTAACTAATTAAGGAGTACCTGAAGTTACGGTCCAGAGCACCAAGGTATTTCTGCTCGATCGACCCTGCGTCCTGACAGACTGATTGCGATGATGCGCTCCACGTGACGTGGATATGGCCAAAGTACGTAGTACATGGAGTACTTAACGAGTGCAAATAACCTCGGTTAGTACGTCCCCTCTTTTTGTCCTTTTAATTTGATTGCGCATTGCTGAGATCAGAATCGAGAGAGAGGGAGGGAGGCACCACCTACTGTCCTTGTTTCAGCTGGAGAGCTAGCCTCGGAAGTAGTTTCCTTTTTGGTATTTTCATAGAGACAGCAACGGTGTCCCCAAGGCTCTCAATCGGCCTTGCCGTACCACCACAATGTTGGAAATGTTGACAAGAAGAATGTGTCTCCTGCTCTGTTTACCCATCTAAAACAAAATCAGTGTTCTTGCTTACATTTTTATTTAGTTTTGCAAACCTCACGGCTGACGGTAATGGTACAGTAATAAATGGAACACAAAAGTAATCTGCCGAGTCACTTCATTGACTGGGGGGTAGTCTCTGTCGACTGCATCGCTGGGTGTGTGTGTGTGTTTTAATTATTTGGATTGCTTACCACATGTGTCATGTGGTGTGTGTGTGTGTGTGTGTGTGTGTGTGTGTGTGTGTGTGTGTGTGTGTGTGTGTGTGTTTTGAGAAGAAGAAGACCAGATTACCCTGGAGCAGAATACACTTTGTTTCTGCACTTCTTTTGGACTGGCCTTGTCACGGATGGGGGGATAGGCCAGCCCATGAACACGAATAAAACTGTGTGGGTAGGTAACTGGCCCCCGTCGGAGAAAAAGGTGGGTAATGGGTTTTGCAATCCGGTCTGTTAGTAGTACGGTAATCGAGGTGGAAAACCGAAAACACTGCAGGCAGAAGGGGAGAATTTCGGGGGCTCCAAGGAGGGAATTCGGCCTGACCACCCAAACGAAATCAGTTGAATTTTTTAGAGCTATGGATTGAACTGGAAAGCCAACAAAGACACGTCTCACACTCCCACTGGACAAAAATCCGACCTAAACCGAAATGAACAGACGGCCGATGATTAGACAGTTCCTAGAACATTTATGTTGCGGTTGCAACACACGTGCAATTATCTAGTATGAGTATAAGACAAGGACAACCTGAAGTTCATTGTCCAAGGCCATCAATCTAAAAGTCAAGTCAGAAGGCCTTGCCACCATAATGATGGAAATGTGACAAGACTGTGTCTTCTGTTCTGTTTACCCATCTTTTTTTCGTGAATACGCAAAGCTTGTGTATCTTTCATTGATAGAAGGAGTTGAAATGAGAATACAGAGGGGTACATCGCATGGCACAACCAGTGATGGCATGAACATGGTGCCCAAAACAGAGAGACATGAAATGCTCAGCCTAAATAGGAGGTACAACACAGCGCTAAACCTAAACTACCCAGACCAACAAAAACAACCCAAACTAAGACAATGCCCTAACACTCGGAATCTAGTACCAGACACGGCATAAGCCAGCAAGACGGCGCCTTTATGAAAGGGAATGACGCCGTGACGCCGCTGTTGTCGGACTCAAGGAACTGGATATGGGGTTTCCCCCGGCGCTCGAAGAGCCGTTTACCCATCTCAGAAACTAGTATTCTTGCTTACATTTTATTTCGAAAAATCTCGGCTGACCATGGTACAGTAAACACAAAACCGCAGTATAATCTGATGAGAGTCACTACACAGGCCCCCTTTACAAAGCCAACTGAAAGTCTGAACCAATGTTGTACAAGAATATACACAACTTTGTATGGACAGAAAAAATGCTTGACCTTCATCGCGGAAGAATCGTCTTGGACTTGTACAAAACTAAAACAATGCCCAACTTGCAGAACAATGCCATTCAGGAAGAATTACTCCGGCCTCCCGGGCTCAGCGGAATGACCACTGTATCTCCTCGAGCGTTCTTCCCTTGGTTTCCGGCACCCAGAGGATGACGAACACGAGTGTAAAGGCGCTCACAAGCATATAGGACACAAAGGTACCTGCAGAGATAATTGTAAAACATAAGTAACTTGCGTCAGGCTATGGCTTCATAATAATTCTACTACTCTAGGGGAACAGAGAAAGCACAAGAGTGAGTGTGAACCTCCAGCACTCCAGCTGAGCAGCAAGTTTGCTGTCATCGTTATCCCAAAGGAAGTGAGCCAATTGGCAAGCGTCGCGAAGCTTCCTGCAAGACTCTTGATGCTCACCGGAAGGATCTGTAAACATAACAAGTCCAAAAGTATGGTTATGTGAATGCTCCAGTGGCAATGCGACATAACAAAATAGTTTTATGAACTATGATGAGTATGCAAATTCTAAGTACCTCAGACATTATGACCCATGGAATGGCGCCCATACCAAAGGAGAAGGCGATAACATAAGCCTGAATGAAGTGTCAAGTTAGTATTTCAGGCACATCTTGCATATTTGCGATGTAATTTTTCAGACCAAACAATTTAACTGACGGATAAACGTACCACAATAGCAAGCAAGGAGACCATGCTCAATATGTAATACATATGAGAATCTTGTGAAACAGTGTCCTGGAAAAAAATAAACCATCATTATATAAGAAAATGTTCAGCAGATTGACAGAACAGGTCCTGTGATTTATTGTGTTACCCTGTAGTACAGAAACCTAAACATACCTTGATAAAAAATATGACGGCAACCGCAAGAAGGCTTATAGTCATCCCAGCAGAAGATATCTGGAAGTTGAAGTGAGAGCTAGATTATAGTTACAGACAACTACAGTAACAAACTAGTTTCACAGGGAGGAGGGAGTTACGATGAGTAGGATACGCCGGCCAGCCCTGTCTAGTAACCAGGTTGTAACTAGAGTGGCAAGAACCTGATGAAAAATGCTGTCAGCAGCATAATGTGAACTACTAAGAGACAAGAAAAAAATCTGGCGAGTTACACACCTGAATACCTCCAAGTCCACATGTGGCCAAGTCACTGTTTGTAATACCTGAAGAGCTTTTCATGTCAGATATAGAAGCTAAAATCGGCTATAATATAGCTCTGAAAAAACATTCTAACAACTTGTTCAACTTGCCTGCAGCTTTGAAGATACTACTTGCGTAGAACAGTATAGCGTTGATTCCGCTTAGCTGTTGTAGAACAAGCAGGCCAATTCCTAGCTGACAAGTTGTACCACAATCACCATTATTACAGGATGTATTATGAATTTTGGTATGAAATACAAACCGGCAAGTTAAGGAAGTTACAATCAGGGGCATGCGGAACTTCTTTTGGTTTAACTCCTGGAAACGGATCGCCGCCCTTTTGTTTGCTGATGTTACGGCCCTCTGCATAATGTGTGCAATGTTAAAGCAAATATTGGTGACTAAGCTGAAAGTACATAACACATACAGTATCTATTTGCAGTTATTCAGTCCAGAAGAAGAAAGGCAGGTGCTTGCCTTTATGTCATTCACTTCTGAGGTGATGTCAGTCTCAAATCCCCTCAAAACTTGTAGCGAGGTTTCGAAATCCTCCATCTTGTTCATCTTTGCCTGGAGATTGATGCACATAAGTGGTTAATAAAGAATTCAGAATGATGCAGCACTTCGTATCAACATTTGCGTATACAAACCAGCCATCTTGGAGATTCTGGGATGAAGAATAGGCCTGGTATCAATATTGTGCATGGCAAGATTCCTACAAGAATGACATCCCAGAGATTTGAATCAGAAATAGCAGAGGCTTAGAAACTAGACACATACAGACACACTTAAGCCCACAATGCAATGGGGAAATCAGCATTCTTTACTGACACGGTAACTTTTCCTTTAAGAGCTGAAATGAAATATTTGCATAGGACATCTCAAGACTCTAGTCATATTTGCCAACATGGCATTTACTGTTACTGAACTTGTGAACTGAAACCTCAGACGTTAACCGAAAACTGACGGTGAAAGCAACCAAGTTCAGTAATGCGTCGACCTTAAGTCACGTTACCTATCACTGCAAGCATCCTCCAAGGAACAAACATGCCGAGAATATAGGCCAACACGATACCAATCGTTACCGACAACTGTTGAGCAAACAATTGTATAATGAGTCCAACAAAAAACAAACTGAAGTCTTGGTCTGACGAAAAAGACAAGTTGGTTGTGAGGATAAGCATACCTGGTTCACAGAGCCTAGGGCGCCTCTCATGTTCTGAGGAGAAATCTCTGCTATGTATACTGGCACCTGTTATGACAAAAATAACAGATCAGGACTATGTTTTGTAACTAGTCCAAGATTCTTCTAACAACAAATAAACACCATACTGAGGATGGTCCATTTTGTCCCCATACTACTGACACCCTGTTGATCCTTTTTTTCTGAATAACTTAACTAGATAGACATATCGAAACATAGATCTTCAATGCAAAATAAATAAATAATAATAAGCAGGCACAAAGTGTTGTTATACTAACCGTGTAGGATATGACACCGACCCCAAATCCTTCAAGCAATCGTCCCATATACAGGAAAGAAGTGTCCTGTAAAACAAATGCCGACAAGTGTCAGGTTCAGAAGCAGCAACTGGTGAAAGTAAGCCATTGAAAAATGAACTACTGTCATACTTTTGCGAAGGAGATGGCAAGCCAGCCGATGATGTTAGGAATAGCAGCGATCATCAGTGACTGCAAAATCAATGAGCAAGCTTGTTAATTAGAGGTAAAGAGAAGAGCATTAGTTCAGTTAGCTACTGAAACATTGCGGAAGATACGCCCAAAATTCAGAAGTTTGACACATCAGTAATGCTCCACCCCCACATTTGGTTCATTTCAATTCCTTGATTACCATACCAATGACAGAACCAAGTGCTGAGTCATGGACATGATAGGGTCAACCCCCAATGTAGCAGATTGTGCCAGCAAGGCAGCGATTCTGGAGCGCATAATTTCAAGTTATCGGAATAAAATGATCAGCATTTGATATACAAAATCATATCCACTTTGTTTGATTTGAATTAACCAAAAGATTGCATTGCTATTGCTTGCAGGTAACCATCAATCAACCAAGTATTGACGTTGACCCTTGTGAACTTTCAGGCCACATGCAGCGGCAAACTGATCCATCTCGCAACGATATACTACTGACAGCTAACAGCAACCGCATAGAAGAATGACCAAGCAAGTCATAGAAAGAAAGAAGGAAAAATCTCACCCCTTTGCGGCCAATGTGCTCGGCCATCTGCCCGCTGGCGATGGCCCCGACCATGGCGCCGACGTTGGACAGCGAGCCGAACACCGAGAACTGCAGCGCGCGAGGGCAGCGTCAATTAGTACCAAGAATCCAAGATACCGAGCCAAGCCAGAGAGAGAGAGGGGCAATGAATGAATGAGAACGAACGACGGACCTCGGAGATGGAGAGGTTGAGGTCGCGGATGATGGCGGCCTGGGTGGGGGAGGAGAAGCCGCCGGTGAAGCCGAACTGGATGGGGCCGAGCGCGACGATCATGGTGCAGAGGAAGGCCGAGACGTGCGACTCCCGCATGATGGCCATGGAGGAGGTCCCCGCCGTGAGGCTGGACTGGCGCGACCCCATCCTGTACCAGCTCCCCGTGTTCACCAGCAGCGGCTGCTTCCGCACGTCATGGTCGCTCCCGCTCTCGTACCCTCCCCCTCCGCCTCCCCCGCCCCTGCCGCCGCTGCCGCCGTTCATGGCGCCTCGCTCTCCTAGCTCTCTCTGTCTGTCGATGGCGACCTCGCCGGACGGATGAGCGAGAGAGAGATGGGAGAAGAAAAGGGGGAGAAGATCGGAGGAAGACGATGCGACCCTACGCTGCGCCTCCCGTTGAAATGGGGAAGAGGAGAGGGACGTGGGTTGTCTGTCTGTCCGTCCGTCCGGCTCGCCGGTCGTGCACCAATGCTGGCCCACATGGCAGTCACTCGGGCGGGTCCTGGGGTCTGCTGAGCTGGACGAAGTGGTGGTGGGCCCAACTTGCTCTTATCTTACGACCTCTCGCTGTCTCGTCTGGATATTTTTCCGAGCGACGACTACTCGTGGGTCGATATATGGAAAAGTAGTAAGCGTCAATCAATGTCCATAATTGTTCAGAAATTATAAACAACGTTAAGGATTTGGCCCTGGCAAATCAAATGTTTTCGACGATAATTTTGTTGACTCAACGAAGGATGACAAGTTTAATTGACACACGCAATAAATTTCTGGTAAAAAACACATTGAGCATGGATTTGTCATGCTTGTCAACTAAATTAGTCATCTCGCGTCACTAAAATTGTCATAGAAAACTTTTGATTTGCCATGATCAAATTCGAAACGTTCGGGATTTATTGGGGTCCTAATTGCTTGCTAAATAATACTCCGACGTTGTGGATCACTAGATATGGAACATCTTATATTTGTTTACAGATGTAGTTTTCTTTCCTATTCTACTTTTTTGTGTGCAAAAGGTCATATATTAACTTATTAAGTAACATAAACATTTACAAAAACACTCATATGCATCCAAAATTTGGGGGAGTCGAGGTCTTTTTCCTTCTGCATTCCCCATCGATGGCGTCGGTAGCAAAGCCTTGTCACCTTTTGAGAATGTTTAGATCCACCGGTAGACAATGAATTGTTTGTCTTCTATCAAATCTCTCTTATTTAAAGTATATGTAATTTCGGCTTATGTCACTTTCTTACGTTTGCCCTCTCCTTACTCACTCCACCACCTTTTCGGCACTGTTGGTTTTTTATGGCATTTTCCTTAGAACTGCTTTAATTGTCTCACATCTTACATTTTAAAATAAAATCGTGTTTTACCTAACCGAAATGTATTGATTCATTATTTGTGTAAACATGACGACTGCGTGCAAAATATTTGTGCCCCGGTGCAACACACGAACAATTTTATCTAGTATTAAGACATTTGTTTTTCTTCTCTGGCACAAAACTGAGAAGGTCAAAAGAAAAGGTCCAGCGCCCAGTTGTGTTTCATAGAATACTATTGTCACGGAAAATGCAGCGCACGTTGGTGCCAAGAGGGATCCACATCGACATATGTGGTAGGTGGGCATCAGATTGGATCAGGGGAGCCATCTCGTGCAATCATGCTTTGACGTGATGGCCTTTGTGTTTATCGTGGAGTACTAGTAGTTAACTGTACTTAATCATCGATCGAGCGGGGGTGAGAAAGAGACATGCTGCCGAAATGAGGATGTACATACTCCGTGCCATTATATATGTACCCCGCTTTAGGTGGTTGGTTATAGGAACGGCTCTAAAAATCATCCAACAATTCAGGACATGGACACAGCCATGTACCAATCACGTTGCAACATTCGTAATCGAAATGCGAACCGCACTTTGAGAAATGGAAACTACAATTCAGCCATAATTTGTCCTTCGGAGTGGATGAGAATGGCTCCACCGACAGGGGTGGAGAAACTCCAATATATCGCTGGAAGAAGATTGGAATGCACGCCAAGAGGTGATCGAATAGGATAGAAGTCTTTCAAAATCGCCCTCGGTGCGGGTCTTCGGACAGAAAAACCGCGATGCAACTCCATCCCACCACACCAACGCTCCGTGAGATGGCAACCTCATGTCCTTGTCAATTCTTCAAATCAACGAGATTAATTAGAGTTTGGTCGCTGCCGTCGTTGCTTTGGGAGCTCCCTGTGTCATGTTGTACTTTTGCTACTCCAGCTCTACACCATACATGGCAAGTCCTTGATGCTTTCGGCGTTTCCATGGGAGAACTATTAAGGTTGTGTCTCCAGGAACAGGGCATCACATCTATGGAGTTTTGGAGTGTCCTTCATCATTTGGTGCAACATTGTTTCCTTATTTGGGTCGCTGGTCCTTCTGGATTGCGAGCGACAATGTTTGTTGGCAGAGTTCGATGACTTCACAACTACATGTGTTGAGAAAACTCTCTTATTCCGGAGTTGGCATGAAACTCCACTTGCGGCAGCAATTGGCAGGTCATCGACATGTAAGAAATGATTGAGATGCAATTTTTCTTCTGCGAGGAGTTTTCTTGTAATACCCGTTCAGTTTTGATATGAAGCCTTGGGCTCTCTAGCCGAGAAAAGAGAATGACATTCCTTCCATTACCCTCATAAGAGCATCTCCAACGGATCCCTAATACTGTCTCATTTTCCAGTATTGAGATAATTGGGCCAAAAAAAGCAGCTCCAAAAAATTTCATTTTGCCATCACCAATAAATCACCCCAACTCCCAACAATATACAAAGGGAGTTGCCTTTGGCCCCCATACCTTCACCAGCATCGTGGGGCCCATATTTCAACTACCCTCTCTCCTACCTGAAGCCGCTTGTGTTGCCAATGCCGCCAGCTACACCACTGCACCTCCGCCGCTCGCCAAAAGGATATGACCTTTGTCAATTTGTGGACCCGAAAAGATTGAGGGAACCTATGTTTCCATAAGTTCTCCTTAGCGAAATGTGAATGGAACATATGCTTTGCACAGAGGTTGGTCTTCTTCTTTGCCTAAAAAAGGCAAATTTTGTGTCTAACTTGTTTGGAGCGTGGCTAAACTAGTTTACAATGCGACGATTAGCCATCTCTTCGAAGATCTTTCAGTCATGCTCTTGCTTTCTGTCGTGTGGTGCCTTTTAATTTGTCATTGCCTTGAATTTTATGAGGGGAACTTCTTTGGGCATGTCGTAGAACCGGTATCTGCCTACTACATGTAGTGTTCTTTTTTCATGTCCTTTTATTTTCCTAAATTTGGTTACTCTTTTCTTTTAGTAATGGGATGATTGTTTTTGATAATAGAATATGGAACCGCAATTGACAAAAGCCATTTGAATTACCTAGATTTTACAACATGATTTTTCCTCTAATTGCGAGATGAAAACTGTAATGTTATGTCTACTTACTCAATTATTTCCTTTATTTCTTATACCGCTATATATATTCACCTAGAAATTGACTTTGAGAGCTCAATAGACGAGATTATTGCAAAGATCAACTCTTCCTAAACTCATACCCAACTTCAAGGAACACAACACGAATCAAGATTGCTCATCGGGAAAAAAATTGTATCTCCCGCAATGTCCATCGGTGTCTGGCACCCAGAGGACGATGAACACAAAGAGTGAAGGAATTCACGAGAGTCTTCCAGTGAGTGGTCTTAACTCTATGCAAATGAGTTTAATTTGTGACCTACACTGACCTAGCTCAACTCATATTACAAAGTGAGCGAGCTCGGTTTGACTTCGGCCAGAGTTTGAGCGGCATAGTTGTTTCATACTCAGCTCAATCTCGAGCACATAAGAAGTCCTAAAAGATCTCGCTTCCGATGTCGGCGTGGTTTACTAAATTGTGGCAATTTTGCGTTCGCCTATTAAAAAGGAATTAACTTTTAATTCCAAAACGTAAATATAACAAATCATTATTATTTGTGTCCTCGTTATATGCATCAATGAAAACATACCTACCAAACTAGTTTGACTCATGTTTGGACTTTCATGTACGTCTTCACGTCGATAATCACATAAGATATTGGACACGACTAGGGAGCACACGTGTGCTCCCTAGCATTCCGGAGCACACACCCAAAAAAGGTAGAGTATTGTCTTAATGCTATGATGCAAAATCCACTTCAAAAAAAAAGATTTTGTCCCATGTGCAATTATTTTATGTGTCCAATTTTTTTAAAAAAGTCATAACTTTTGAACGAAGCATCAAAATTATGATCCGTTTTCACCGCTAGATTCTTGGTGACGAGCTCTTCAAAACTAGATCCAATATCGATATGTTTCGACGAACTTTTTTTTCTTCGGGCAACTTTGGTGTCACGGGGAGGCAACTTTTGTACTACTGTAGGCAACTTTCGATTAGGGTGTGCATCATCGTCACCTATCATATAGATGTTCTTTTGAGTTGGTTATGATGACTACCAAATTGCCTAGCATCACGTGTAAGTTGCGTACCATGACTAGGTATCAACTTTGCTGCTATATGAAGCACTTGTTGCCAGTTTGCCTATCATGACTATGTATCGACTCAATGCTCTTATAAAGTTGGCTATCATGATTGTCAAGCTGCCTGGCGTCACCTATGAAGTTGCTTTTGATGAACTTATTTTCTCAAGCAACTTTGTTTCCACAGAAAGGCAATTTTTGAACTACAGTAGGCAACTTTCACCCCAATGTTCTTTTGAATTGGCTATAATGACTGCCAAATTGCCTAGGATGACATATAAGTTGCCTAGCATCAACTATGAAGTTGCTTTCGACGATCCTTTCTTTTTTTCTCAAGCAACTTTGCTGCCACGGAGAGGCAACTTTTGGTTAGGTTGTGTATCATAGTCATCTATCATCCTAATGTTCTTTTGAGTTGGCTACCATGACTATCAAATTGCATAGCATCACTTGTAAATTGCCTACCATGACTACCTATCAAAGTTGCTGCTACATGACCCACCTTGTTTCTTATCATGACTACATATCAACTCAATGCTCTTATAAAGATGGCTATCATGACCTCAATTTGCTTAGCGTAACCAATGAAATTGCTTCTAACGAAAATATTCTCAAGCAACTTCGTGCCATGGAGAGGCAACTTTTGTTTTACAGTAAACAACTTTCGCTTAGGTTGTGTATCATGGTCGATTATCATCAAAATGTTCTTTTGAATTGGCTACGATGACTACCAAGTTGCCTACCATCACCTATAAGTTGCCT